TAAAGATCATATCAAGTCGTACCCAAGTCTCTCTGTTTTCGTCATCAGGGAATGCTCCTCCCGAGCCATTTTGTGCTTGGACGGCCTTTGAACTAGCCTCCCTAGTAGGTTCAGTCACCGACGAGGGCAACGACTCCATAGCCTCGAGCTCTTGCTGTTCGGTATCTGTGGCAAACGCGTTCGGTATCGACTTTGACAGTTCCAGCAAGAACTTGAGCTGGCTCTGGGAGATACGGAGGTTAATTGGAGATAGAGAACCCTCGATTTCCATATCTGGGCGTGGGTTGTTTGCTTGATGCTCCAAATAGCAGATGCTGAACTCCAAGTTCACCTTCTGAATCATCTCCAGCTCCTCGGATGTACCATCTTCGAAATGGAAGTTGGATGTCAGGCGAATATTGCGGACACCAGTCGAGATGACGTTGACAGCAGGGCTGTCCTTTCCATCATCCATAGGGACAAATTCATTCTTAGCATAAATTTCACCGAGGTGAGCGGTGATTGTGTCTCGAGGGCGACCGTCCGTCATAACGCGAGGGAAAACTACAATGGGCGTCTTCACAATAATGTCAAGCCGCACACGTGAAGCATTCTCCTGGAGTTGGTTGGCCTGGCTGGCAGCGGCTTGGCGAGCTGCATTGAAAATGGCTTGCATCTTGCCAAACTTGACGAGGAAGTGGATGATCTTCCGGTAGGGCTCCTCTAGAAAATTGATCTTGATCGAACCAGATCGCAGATAGACCTCGGAATCATAACCGGGGTGTGTCTCACTATCGGGATCGAATGTCTCGTACTTGAAGTCCGCGAAATCATCTCCTTCTATGGTCAGAAGGCGTCGGATATCAGAGTCCTCCGCGGCACCCAGGTTGACATCGTCGACCAAAGTCAGACTTCCTATCCGAGACTGGATGAGCATCGAGCTGCCCACGAGGAAAACCCCGACGTCGGCAGTGTTCAAACTCAAAGTTGCCAAGCGGACTCCATCATTGTTGAGGATGAGAGCAATACTCTTGAGGTTAGCCTTGATGCGGATTTTCCCAGCTTGCTCGGGCTTCTCTTCCACACTGGCGGTCCCTTCAATAGCCTTGTCTGTTTCTGGGTTGGGTTGAGTCGGTTGTTGAGGATTTGTGAATGTAAGGAGGGTGAAGTCTAGAAGCGTGAGAAGTGTTTTTCTTGTCACGACAAGATTGATAGTGGAGACTGATATGTCAAGGTTCATGGCAACCCCTTCATACGTTGAGTCAAACTCGGGTGACTCGGGTTTAACCCGTACCATCTTCAGCTGGAACAGGTCCTTGTCTTCGTCGGCATCAAAGCCTTTAGAGGAGATGATTCTCTTGAATTCAGGAACCGGATTCTCCTCGATGTGATCATCTACGCTTAAAGATTTCAGAATAACCTCAGCGACCATGTCATAGGGGCGCATATAAAAGTCCAGCTCAAATCCTTCGGCAACCAGTTCAACCAGCAACTGATCCCGTTGCGGGTCATGGGGGTCAGAACGGGAGAGTGATCCACGTAGACGGCCAACAGTGAATTTGAATTCGAAGTCTCGGCGATGGATATTGGCCGGTGTATCGACACGCTTCTTTGCATGTTCGCTGTCTACTTCATCCTCATCGTCGTCAACAACAGGGAGGTCACGTTGGACTGCTGGTTGGAAGGATGATGACCTGTCTCGTGTGGCTAGGGCTGCTTCTTCCTTGGCTGCTGCAGTAACTGAATCAGAGGCAGACTTTTCCGTATCGAATTCCGGGATTGCAATATCAATCAATTTCATCAAGCCCTTGTATTTGGTGTCTGATATTGATGCGTGAAGCTCTGGCAGATGTCCAGAGATGCGCGTTCGGGTAAGCTGTGTCACGCTCGGTACGATACACATCTCCAGGGCAAAGTCGACATTGATACGGTCGATGATGTGGAAATTCCTAGATTCGACATTCGTGTTGAGCTGCGCTTTGGTTGCATCGACGCCAGGTCCGATGAGGACTTGGGTGGAGTCCAGTTTGATGAGGAAGCGATCGTACATCAGATGCTCCAGTTGCTTGTAATCATCCTCCGCATATTGTTTTTTCTGCTTGGACTGAATTTCTCGCATCGCTTTGCGGTCGACCAATTCGCTGTTGACACTGGCATGACCGGCGTCGATAATCAAACAAAGTGAACTTGGTTGTGTGATGCTTTCTGGTACAATAATCAAAGGCGCGTGGATATCGAATTGCGCATCAACCTTCTTGTGTTCTTGCAAGGCAAACTCGAGGCCGGCCCGGGTTTGCTGCCGCAGTCCTTCAACCGTGGCACCCGCGGTATCTAAGAGAGCACCAATCGACTCCATGTGTCGCTCGGGCGGCTCAAAGAACTTCACAATTCCTACGAGGAATCGAGGGTTGTAAATGACCTCAATACTCTTCAGCTTGACCTTTACCGCCGTATCTGCATCGCTGTCGAGCGGGTTCTTCTCCAGTTGCAGATGGAACAAACTGTCCTCATCCTGAAGATCGTCTGCGCTAGTTTGTGAGGCGAGCTCATCATCATCCTCGCTTAGCTCTTCAACCTTTGTAGATTCAGGGGGAGAATCCTTGACCTTGACGATCTGGGGATAAAGAGTCCCGGCAGTAGTGCCATCATACATCTTCAGCCCTCCAAGGTCCAGATCAAGGAGATAAGAATCATGGCGTTGAAGTGCCTTGGCTCGGAAATTGTCAAACACTAGCTTCATGACCTCATTGGCTGACCCGTGAGGGTCCTGGATTAACGTAAAGCTACCAGCTCGAAGACTCCAATTGACCTGAAGTTTGACCCATTCCCGGGGCACATCCACACTCTCGGTGATAGCCTTCTTTTCATCCCAATCGATGGCATTATACAACTCTTGTCGCTGTTCTTCAGTCATAGCAGTCTCCTCGGACTCTTCTTTCTTAGCGCCCCAGAGCCAGGCAGACCATGATTGTTGTTCTGCGGGCTTTTTGACCCCGACATTTTCTTTTCGTAGCTGGTTCCGTGCAAGTGAGCGCCAGAATCGGATATCTTCGTAGCTCAGTTTTGCTTCCAGTCTCTGCAGTTCCTTGGTTTCTTCGGGCGTAAAAGCCTCTTCCTTCTTCGTTTTTTTGAACAAGGCAATGTACGCGATGCGGTCATCTCTGCGCTCCTTGATATAGTCCCAGGTCCAGCGCCTGTTTCGTTCGTGGATCTTGCTCAGAACGGCTTCTCCTGCGAACCTCATCCATGCCCGAGGGTCTTCCTTTGGTGAGGCCTTAGGCTGGATTTTCTTATGTTCCTGATGGCGAATGAAATAATGGAATAGATCGACCAGCATCAACGCGTCGCGATATTGTTTCTCATCAAGAACAAAGCCGAGCTCATCGAAGAGCAACCGTGCTTTGATTGCGGGCCGTTCATATGTGCCTGACTTGTCCATTTCCAGACCAGCACGGCCACTGACGGGGCGCAACATGAATTGGTTTCCTTCGTCGGCATCAATTGCAGTTCTCAGTTTCTCTATCAGATCAGCGCGGCTGATTCCCTGGGCCTCTGCGCCTATATCCGAGCCTCGCCCGGTTCCCAGCAATTTGGCATCAGTATTCCAATAAGCCGAAAGAGCACCGAGGACGGCCAATTTATGCGTGACACTTGAGTCGGATTGGATGAAAGTCGGATTCCATTCCCCGTCTGTGCTGACGGCACTCAATTCCTTGAGTGTCACGCCGACAGCAAACGGATGCCCAGGTGATGCGATAGAGTCTTCGTAGCGGAAATGCACATTCTTGATAGAAATCTGCAGGTTGTCCACCACGGCCGTGATCATGCTCTGTGTGAAGCTCTGATTCCGGCGCTGTTCCTCTTGGCTCATGCCTTCCGCATTGCGCTCGCGCAGAATCTCGGCGCTCTCGACCCGTTCCATCTTCAGCGCATTCTCTCTCTTTGCTTCCTCTTCTGGGTCAAAGTCCGCATCTTCTCTGGGTGCCGCGAGCAGGAAGACATCTTGAATATCGACTTTCACCGGTTTGCCTCGTAGGTTTGACCATGGGATTGATAGTGTAAGCTCTCCGAGATGGCCTTCGACGACGTTTAGAGGGAGGCGTAGCTGATCGAGCGCTTCGCGGCGTAGTTCAAGGTTCCGTAGCTTGACGTCGCCTGACCAGATTCCGATGTTGAGCTGGGTCGCATCGAAGTTCTTGACGTAAATTCCCAGGAACCGATTCAGTAGGTTCGCTACTACTCCCTCCAACATGATTGCGGCGTGGAGCCGTTGACCGGGCCTGGTGGTCGGACTCTATGGCCGGTGCGGGTGTCAGCAGGTGGGGATTCCACGATAGTCTGTAATTGAAGGGATTTCGCAAGTCAGTGGCGATCCAAGTGAGAGGAAACAAGGGAGCCTCTTCATTAAATGGACTCTTACGCGATAGAAGGGTTGCTTTTATGAACCCTGGCTGATAGGGAACATCCAAGCCATCCAACTGAGAGCACGCGCGATACTGAGGTGGGACCTTTTTCCCCTCCAAGCAGAGCGGAAATCGGTGAAGATATGACTAGATGTCAGATTAAGAAGGGATGTAGAGAAATCACAAGCGCTAATTGAGACAAAATGATGTTGGGTATTCCAGCCCAAGTTCAGGCAAGTTAATGGCCCTGATTGCGTGGATCAAAAGAGGTGATATCTGTTACGCAAATTGTATGATCGAGGTACTCGATACAAACGGGGTACAGCTTCTTACGCCAGGGGCGGGTATCATTCCCGCCTACCACCAAGTATTTGCAAGGTACAGAGTACTCAAGCCACGATACACTTGGCACTACGTGGGAAGTTGGGGGGCCAGTGGTAAGTATTTTGGTTACTTTTGTTATCAAAGCCGTTTACGCACGAGGCAATGACCCTGAGAATCCCTGCAATATACTGTACCGTATGTACTGGTGGATACACTTGTTTACCCCAGGAGTGACGTAGCCACCCTGGTTAGGGCAGCAGCCCCCCGAATTTGATTGGCTGGGGAAAGGACATTATGCCTGAGGCAACTTTATCGACACCTGAGGCCAAAGCTTCTGCATCGAGTTGCAATCTGCACTTCCGGTCGCTGCGGTCCGCCCTAAAGCACACCACACCTCATCACTCGGTCACTTCATTTCTGGATATTCTTATTTGTTCCCTCCCGGAAAGCCCACGCCGTCGACTTTCTGATCAAAGTCTTTTTCCGGGTGTATACCCTCAATCTCCACTCTTCTACTTCTGTCCAGCTTTTCTTTCAGGCCAATTGGGTGAGTAAACACTGCTGTCCGGCCGTACCCGAGGCTTTTCTCCTCCAACTTGCTAACCCGACGACAACGAAAAGCTCTATATCTCCCCGCCATGTACCGCAACGCCGCCGCCCGCTCCGCGCTCCGCGCATTCTCGAGCTCCAATGCCTCCGTGGCTCGCTCCGCTCTGAGCAAGCAGATCTGCAAGGCCCAGATGACCTCGTCGGCCCGCAGTCTGCTCCGTCCCTCCGTCTCGTGCTTCGCGCTCGCCGCCCACAAGCCCGTCACCACCGCTCTTGTGCGCTACTCGTCTTCTGCGGCTAAGGTGAGATACGGCATACGCCTTGTGATTTGTGGTTTGCAAAAGACACTCAATGGCTAATGTCGATACAATAGGAGCACGATGATGATGATGTTGATGTTATGGCGGGTATGAAGTCCGAGGCTGTACGTATTTCCATTCGATGTGGATCTGGGTCTGCATATGCTAACTGTGCCTCGCCGATATAGAAAGTTATCAAGGAAACCTTCAGCTTGAGTGAGGTCCCCAAGGAGGCCCTCTACCTCGGTATGGCCGGTGTCGTCCCCTACCTGGCCACCTCTCTGCAGACCGTCTTCCTCTCCTACGAGATCAACCGCGCTGCTGCTGTTGGCGAAGGTCTGATCTTCTCTGGCGAGAGTGCTGAGCTGATGCTGCACATGCTCGAGCCCGTCCAGATCGGATACGGTGCCGTCGTGAGTGATCCCGAGTGTCTTGAGTAATCGGTTAGAAGTTTGCTAATCGCCGTTATGGTTAGATCCTTTCTTTCCTCGGCGCCATCCACTGGGGTCTTGAATGGGCTGGCTACGGCGGTAAGTTCGGTTACCGCCGCTACGCCGCCGGTGTGATCGCCCCCGCTGTGGCCTGGCCTACTCTGCTGCTCCCCGTCGAGTACGCTCTGATCAGCCAGTTCCTCGCTTTCACCTTCCTGTACTACAACGATGCGCGTGCTTCCGCCGCCGGCCGAGCTCCTCACTGGTACGGCATGTACCGTTTCGTGCTGACCTTCGTCGTCGGTGCCTCGATCGTGGCTACCCTGATCGGCCGTGAGCAGATCCAGCAGACCACCGCCTCCGAGCACAGCATCAAGGACAAGATCAACGCTCTGATCTTCTTGCAGAAGAAGGAGAAGGAGGAGGCTGCGGCCCGCCGTCTTCAGGCACTCGAGGTCGAGGATTCCGAGTAAATATGCCTTTTAAGGTGAGGGGCATCCCCCCGAGACTGATCTCGATGTTTGCATTACCGTGATTTCCTGTAGAATATACGCAGAACGAACGCACTAGGCCACTGAAATTTCTTTTGTTCAATTGAAGTGTCGTAGTTGGGACCCAAGTATTCTCGAGTAAGAGTCTTATCGTGAGGGATTTGACATTCCGCATCGAGTGGGGGTAGATATAAGCGTACGGGTAGCAGGATATAGGTATCCATGGGATGCTCCCGCATTAAAATTTCATTTCTTTTTTCATTTTTCTTTTCTCAAACGGATTCAATAAAGCTGCACTCGTGCTTGGCATCAAATCTGAGTTAGAGCTGCAAGATTAGGTACGTACAATAGCTACTATATGTCGCAAAAGGGTACAATTGCTAATCGGCATCTTCCTCAGGTCACACGGGTTGCCGCAGATCGGAGAGGGATAATCCAAAGGGGTAAAACGAATCTCACGTACATACTCGAGCGGGTCGATCCCATTGAAACTGTCACGGGGTGCCGAAAATATCGACTAAAGATCTCACGGACGGAGCTAGCTGAAACGGCGCTGGAAATGGGAACAAAAAAGAGGGTACTTTTGCGAAAGTGGCATGGCTTTCTTTGCTTTCTTTGCTTGCAAACGGCTTCGGGGGAAGGTAAAGCGAGACCTGCATGCGAGGTACGCAGAGTAGCGCCCAATGGCGCCAGAAAAAAACAACGCTGGAATCCACCTGGATCGGCCTTTTCGTCTCTTTTTGTTTTTTTGTTTTTGCTTATTTTTTCTTTTTTTGGGGTGTTAATCTATGGAGTACAACTGAGGGAGCACGATTTTTCGTATTGTAAGTTGTACTTGTTCGCACGTCCCCGTTCCTGGCAGGTTTGACAACATCCCCTCTCTCCACGTCTGGAGATAATGGCCTCTTATAGGGCAATTCAGCCGGTTCACCAGACCAGTTCCAGTTCTCCGTGGGGGAAGGAACCTTGGACATTACTAGATAACGTCATCTGCTGGGGGTTTATACAACGTACAGATTGGACTATTCTACATCAAGCATAAATGCCAATCTGCCAATCTGCCCTGAGACAGGGATCTTGAATGAGACCCGGGAAGTAGGGAGTCAAGATCATAGGCAGTTCCCCGGAGGGGTTGACGCACTCGAATGTTCTTGGCCTGGACTAGCCCGTTCTCCAGATGGGATTCCCTTGATTTCTCTCTCCCTCATAGGCTATATACCACATCCGAGAAAGCTAATAATTCAATAATTCTTCCATATGGTGGGATATGATATTCTCCATGAATAGGATTTTAATCAAAGAATGTCAACTAATCAGAAAGGGGGGGGGTTCTAGAACGACTCAAGTGAGGAAAAATGGACCGTGTCATGTGTACGATCGACGGGGCTTGTGGAGTGCCCAGGCTTGGATAGACGGGGGTTGGAGTTGTATATGTGTAATATATACGGATAGGACTATGGTAGGTAACTAGTTCACTAGTTATAGGACAGGATAGTTATAGGATAACTATAGGATGGGTATTACTAGATAGATGCTCGCTACAATAAGATATATACCCTATATAAGACTATATCCTTAATCCTTAATCCTATAAACGTCCTTCTCCAGCTCATCTCCCATTTATAAAGCCAAATAGTGGGGGAAAGTGACGAGGTCTTCTGATCAAAAAAAAAAAAAAATCCCCCGAACCGGATTTCTCATTTCCCCCACCCCACCTGGGCTTTTTCAATGGTCCACCCCTTTGGTTAAAGACCGCTGCCCTGGTGCTGTGGGAGATCTTTCTTGTTTTCTCCCGATTCTTCCGTTTTCTCTATATACGACTCGATACTGGCGTATACCTCGACTATTTACCTCTTCTCCTCCTTCTTCTGCTACCTTTCACCAACCCTCAACAATTTCCAATCTCCAATCTCCATTCTCCATTCTCACCTTTCTCCTTTATAACGGTGACAGTGAACTGCCATATTTCACTTCTATACCTTGGCCACTGCTCTGATACGTCACGCTCCACTTTTCTGCCACGGGAGCTGGTCCCCGTATCCCCAACACCGCCACCTCGTAGTTCTCCTCCCCTCCGTTATTCCCCTCTTTAAATCCTGGACAGTAAAATCGCTCTCTCTCTTAATACCTCTTTTTTCACACGTTCTGGAAGATGCGAAACCCATTCGATTTGGACTTTGATAGCCTCGATGGAGACTCCGAGCCCGCCCGGGATTTCGAGGCCCCCGAAGAACATGTGCACCAGCGAGTGGAGGACATACAACGAGAACACCTGAACCTCAACTATCGTCCCAAACAGAGAGACGATGGAGACCGGTCGTTGCTGCAGGACGAGGACGAGGATGAAATGAAGAGTCGATTCATTGGCACCATTGACCAGGGTACAACGAGTACACGATTCATCATCTTCGATTGCACAGGTGTCCCTGTCGCCAAATACCAGACTGAATTCCATCAGATTCATGAACATCCAGGGTAGGTGTCACAACCCATCCCTTTGAATCCTCCCCCGACTCAAATATTAATTTGCCCCGCACCCCCACAGATGGCACGAACAAGACCCTTATGAATTGGTCGAGTCGGTCTATATCTGTATCGAAGAGGCCATGAAATCCTTCCTCGCCCTGGGCTACTCCACATCCGACATCGAAGCCATTGGCATCACCAGTCAAAGAGAAACCGCCTTGGTCTGGGACTGGGAGACCGGCGAGCCCCTGCACAACGCAATCACGTGGACCGATACTCGCACCGTCAACTTGGTCCGGGAACTGAAAGAAAGGCCCGGCGCCGACGAACTCCGTGATATTTGCGGCCTCCCGCTCTCCACATACCCCTCGTCCGTCACGCTACGATGGATGCTCGACCATTTGCCCGACGTCCGGTCGGCCTATGACGATGGCCGCGCTGCATTTGGAACCGTCGATAGCTGGCTCATCTACAACCTCAACGGTGGTCCGAAGAACAAGCTTCTGGTGACCGATGTGACCAATGCCTCCCGGACGATGTTCATGAACCTCGAAACCCTCCAATATGACGATCGCCTCTTGAAGTTCTTCGACATTGACCCGACCAAGATCCGTCTGCCCGAGATTCTGCCCTCGGCCGATCCCGATGGGTTTGGTAGAATGGCCGAAGGGCCGCTGGAGGGTACTCCCATTACCAGCTGTCTGGGTGATCAGGCTTCGGCCTTGGTCGGTCACTGTGCCTTTTCGCCGGGAATGGCCAAGAACACTTACGGTACCGGATGCTTCCTTCTCTACAATGTGGGCGAGAAGCCGGTTATCTCAAAACACGGTCTCTTGGGCACCGTGGGCTTCCAATTAGGCCGAGACCGCAAGGCCGTCTATGCACTTGAAGGCAGTGTGGCCGTGGCGGGCAGTGGTGTCTCTTTCCTAATGAATAACCTTGGATTTTTCCGTGACTCACGGAAGGTCAGCGATTTGGCTGCCAGCGTGCCAGATAATGGAGGCTGCATTTTCGTCACTGCGTTCAGTGGTCTTTTTGCTCCTTACTGGATCGATGATGCCCAGGGAACTATCTGTGAGTCTTGAACGTGCTCGTCATCCAAAAACCTAAATCGCTAACACTGCCAGGGGGAATCACCGCCCACACACAAAAAGGACACATTGCCCGTGCAACCATGGAAGCGGCCTGCTTTCAAACTAAGGCTATCCTCGACGCCATGGCAATGGACAGTGGCAAGGGCCTGACAGAACTGGCTGTTGACGGCGGCATGAGTAACTCTGATATTTGCATGCAGGTATGTTGCAACGTGTTTTCTCTTAAACTCTCAGACCCGCTAACTTTCATTTGTTTCAGACCCAAGCCGATATTATTCAAATCCCCGTCGAACGTCCCTCCATGCACGAAACCACTGCCCTCGGCGCCGCAATCGCCGCCGGCTTCGCCATCAATATTTGGAAGGATTTCTCCGAACTTAAGCACATGAACCGTGCCAACCGAGCCTCCTTCGCCCCAAGGATGTCCGTCAAAGCCAGCGGCCGCATGTATAAAAAGTGGTCCAAGGCCGTGGAGATGTCGCGCGGCTGGATGGCCGACGAGGACAGAGAGGAATACGACGAATAAACACCTTTTTTACATATCCTTTTGAGATGACCCCAATCGGGTCCGTCATCGACCCCGCGGCCCAGTTTGTGCAATTCATACCATGCACGATACATACACACGCGCAAGAAGCAAGAAGCAAGAGAGATTTGAGAGGTTTACATGAAGATCATATCAACCGGATATCGCATATATTCTCTCTTGGAGATACCCGGAATTTTTTCTTTTTCACAGGGACATCTGGAACACCTCGCGTCTTCCATTTATACATATTTAGAGAATTTCCAATCCCGACTAGAAAGTCCGTCCTAATAAGGCGTTTTACCCGCCCACGCCGATGTCCCCCTCCAATCATGACCGTTATGACGGGAAGTCGTTTGTTCCAGAAGAAGAGCTGGGGATTTTACCTTTTTTTTTTTTATCTCATTTTGCTGTTGGCTAGCCTCCTCTCCTGGAACAAGCTCGACTTAACTACCACTTGTGTACATACAACCCGTTTTTGAGAAGAAATGAAGAAAAAAAAAAATTATAAACATGTCATTCTCGTTCGTACGCAAATAAACAATGAAGCTTAAAACTTTATTATTACAACATTCCCACCCGGAATCGAGAATACCCCGGAATCCAGTTTCTGTCTCCGGATTGACGTAAACACCATGACATCATAACAGCGGGGTAGTAACTAACCAAGATTACTGGTTACTGGTTCTAACCAATAGTGGAGTGAGGCATCTGGTTCATTTTTTAGTTCGGCGATGTGTTCAATACATACATAGCTTTTCAGATCACATGATCGCTTCAGCCTGTGGTGTCCTACCATACATACATAGTGAATAGATCGTAGAGGCCTCACTGTTGAACCATTGGAAGTGGCTACGATCCATCTAATGCATGTAGAGAGAGATGTTGCTTGGGTCGTTTATATTCCCCTGTCACGGCTTCATTCACGGAATAGGCCGAGATTTGGCTGTCTGCTTAGGGTTTGGGTTGTTGCTATATTTGGCTCGGGTGCCTTGGGAGGGATATATATTGTACAACATATGTTCATCTACATGTACAACATACACCGAAGTTGGAGTGGAATATATGTATATTTTTATTTTCATGCTATATCTTCCCTCTCGGTCATTTTCATGACCGCTTTGTAGATATAACCATATGTCTATGAGAGTACCAAAGAGGATTGGCAGCTTTATTCTACAAATGCGATCGCGGATCACGTGGTCACGTGCAAGAGGGTATATAGATGACCTCATATCGCGGTTATTACATGGCAAATTGACGTCAGATGATCTCCATTCGAGATCTTCAAGCGCGGAACAACAGCCGATAACCAGAGTCAAGCGTCAATCTGACTGAGACATGATATAGAAGAAAGAGAACCAAAGAGATATGGTATTTTCAATAGACGCCTGGATGATCGAGGATGCAAAATGGAGATGAGAAACAGGATACATGGGTGGTTGTTTGTAGAGCCAACAAGAAAATAAGACAAGGAAATGAACAGAAAAGTTTACAGAGTCGGAGATGACTTATTCATTGACCGTGGGTGCTCTTCCTGCCGCCGCGGACGAGTTGAGATTGGTCGACTGCAAAGCTTCAGGGAGCTTCAGCGGTGCACTGGGCAAGATCTTGAGTTTATTGATCTTCTCGCCCTTCAGCACCAGCTCCATCTCCTCCTTTGTGAGAGTTTCATATTCAATGAGCGCATTGGTCAGAAGCTCGAGTTCCTTGCGCTTTTCGGTTAGGATGGTGGTTGCTCGGTCACGGGCTTCTTCTATAAGCCGGCGCACTTCGCCCTCGATCTCTTGCTTGGTTTCCGACGATAGGCTGTCGTAATTCGTAGACAGGTCGACGTTGCCGAGTTTCTTGGAATATCCGAACCGGGTGATCAGCGTGAAGGCCGTCTCGGTGGCACTTTGAATATCCTAAAGAGATCATTAGTACCGAGAAAAGAAGACAACTAACTAGTAAGACTTACAGCTGAGATGCCACTAGTGACATTGTCGTGGCCGAAAACCAGCTCTTCAGCAGCCTTGCCACCCATAGAGACGGCGATGTCTGCCAAATATTCGGTGTAGTTCCTTGAAACGGTATCCATCTCCGGAAGGAAGTGAGTAATACCCAGAGCCATACCACGGGGAACGATGGTGATCTTGTACAGAGGAGTAGAGGAAGGAGAGAAGTGTGCAACAAGGGCATGACCAGCCTCGTGGTACGCAGTCAAGAGCTTGTCCTTGTCTTGGATGATGCGACTGCGAGCCTCGGCGCCCATCATAATCTTGTCCTTGGCCCAGTCGAAGTCGAACGGCCCCACATTAGCCTTGCGGTCACGGCTGGCATGGACGGCAGCTTGGTTGACCAGGTTCTCCAAATCAGCACCAGAGAAGCCGGGAGTGCCTCGCGCGATGACTCCGACGTCAACATCAGGACCGTATTGAATTTCCTTCATGTGATGTCTCAAGATGTCCATTCGGCCGCGAACATCAGGAAGGTCCACAACGACCCGACGGTCGAACCGACCAGGTCGAGTGAGTGCCTTGTCCAGGAGTTGAGGGTAATTGGTAGCAGCAATGATGATAACACCGGTAGTCTGAGAGAATCCGTCGAGTTCCGTGAGCAACTGGTTGAGCGTTTGCTTGACATAAGCAGCATCCCGCTCGTTTCGCTTTCCACCTATCGCATCCAGTTCATCAATGAAGATGATAGCCGGAGCCTTGGCACGGGCCTGAGCGAACAAATCACGGACACGCTTGGCACCAACACCGACGTATACCTCATCGAATTCAGATCCAGACATGTAGAAGAATGGGACACCAGCTTCGCCTGCAACAGCACGCGCAAGCAAGGTTTTACCAGTACCGGGAGGACCGACCAAGAGAACACCCTTGGGCAGCTTACCGCCTAGGGAAGAGAAACGCTCTGGGTTGAGAAGAAATTCCACCAGCTCCTGCAGCTCATCTTTAGCCTCGTCACAGCCATGCACATCACTGAAACGAGCGGTTTGCTGCTCAGGCTGAGCTTCCTTATCCTGCGCACCACGGACGTTCTTCAGAACGCCAGTGGTTTCAACCAAGATAGTGACCGTGACCAGGGAGATGTAAGTGAAAAAGCCGAAAATGAGCAAGAATTTGACCCAGCGGAACACAGTGCTTCCGAGAGACTCATCGACCACAACGTAGAGAGGAGCATCCTTGGCACCGGTACCGTTTTGTTTTCCCATTCCGATTTGACTGCCAGTAGCCCGAGCAGCCACCGCTTGACCGACTGCCTGGAGCTGTTCAGGGCTCAGATTGTGGTTTGACCCGCCGAAAGCTCCAGCTCCGGCGTCGGCGCCACCGACGATTGACTGGGCCTGTTGGACTAATGCTTCAGTTGTGAGATCTCCTGCAAAATAACCGCTCCGGTGTCGTTCGAGAACTATGCCCGGCATTTTAGCACGCAAGAGAGCCGAATAAAGAGCATTTTGAGCGTCTGCGTTATTGGGACTTTGATTGGCGACCTTCTCCTTCTGGGCTAGTACATGATGCCAGGACCCGCCGAACAGGAACCGTTGCTGCTGTATCTTCGAAAGACCGTTGACCTTCGGGGCCGCGCGGAGGGAGTTAAGACGGAATGGAGTTAGAGTTGAGTATGAACGAGCACCGGGGATAGCATAGCGGATCGGCATAAAAGATGAGGTGGTCCGAAGTGCGTTGTCTGTTATCAATGATTAGATATGATTCATCAAAGCAATTTTCTCAAGCCAAAACATACTTTGATTGAGCAATGAAGACCACGTTTGCTGCGAAGGCCGGCTGACGATCTCCGCTCGCAGGGCTTCGGTGGAAATGCCTTCCAGGTATTCAGGCAAGGTTGCGCGTTGAGAGATCTGTCTGTATCAGCATGAAGATGCCAAGTGGATGATAGGTTATGCCATACTGTTTCAGTTCCTCGGCTAGTACTGCGCCGGAAAGACTCGTTGACATTGCTCGTCGTTCGCCCGGTCTGCTTCCAGGGAACAGCCAGGATGTTATACATTGAAGGCCAGAGATCCGATGTCACGGCAGCGACATTCTAGCAGATTTTTTGGGTCAGTTGTGGGATCTGGATGAGAAACCGCGGAGTGGTACTCACAGGCATGGGGATCGAGACTTGGAAGGCCATGACTCTCCGATATACAGCGGCACGCGGCCGGGTGCGAGGATGGGCGTGTGCTCCTCTTGGTGGATTTACAGCCGGAAATAAAATTTGAATCTGTTAAGCCCGGGTTGAAGAGACTGTCATTGCTGACACAAGAATGAAGGTAGAGAAGAAGGCGATAGGATGTTCCGCTTTGATGCGGCGAATGGCGACGGCCACTTATGTCCGAATAGGCGACCGAATATATATCACGTGATATTAAGTGACACGTGCACGGCATAGCCGGACGCTTCTTATAGCGTCATCAGCTCTGGTCAGCTCCGATGAAGGATGGAAGGAGATTTAATGGGGAAAATTTGTATGAATTAATTATGCATGGGCGATTTGGCAGAGAAAATTGGTAGCAAACGGGTAATAGTAGCCGGGAAGGGCCAGGTACACCAGGGCTGTTGCCATTGACAGAAGCTGCCCATGGTTCGCGCACCCCGATCTTTACAAATTGCAACGTCTTGACGTCCACGAGCATTTGAACTTCATCACCTTCTTGAGGCTCTTAAAAGGGCCCTGTGATCCCCCTGCTCAATGGCTCCATCGACATTTCGGCCCACGCTTTTTCTCACGGACAAGCTCCCCTTGACCTGCATATTCTTAAAGACAGACTTGCTATGTCTCGAAAATATATCTTCTTGGTAGGAGCTCCGTTGCCAGCAAGTCTGAATTGGGATACAGACGAGCTTCTCAACACGCCCATACCTCCATTTTACGAGAATACGACGAGTACAGAACAACAGCTATCCCTGGAGCAACCACCTGTAAGATGGAGAGTGTTACGGTCAGCATCAGTCGACAAGCTAGGTGAAAATTATGACTCTTTCCAATACTATGAGGACCCGGCCTTTTTCATCTCGCATCAACTGGCTGTTGCGACAGATGCGACACAAGGATCAGAAGATTCGATTCTTCAATTCTACGACCATTCTTTCGCCATCCACGAAACGTCCGAGGTAGCTGGCTCAGATGTGTACGTAGCAGATTCCACGCAGGAGAGCAGTTTGGACGAGGACAGCATGTTGGCTAGCACTACGGGGCTGGACAAGACAGACACTCCGAGGTCACCTCGCATTCTCCATAATCCTGGGTCCCTCATTGATTTGAAAGATCTTCCCACGGCCAGGTACATCCAATCGATCGCACCGCAAACGATGACGGTGAATATGATTGTGGGAGTGCTGGCCGTTCACCCCCCACGTCGCATAGTAACACGACAATGGAAAACCGAACTGGACCTCATCGAGCTTGTCGTTGGAGACGAGACAAGGGCTGGGTTTGGAGTCAATTTTTGGCTTAAGCCAGAGAAGCCGACCGCCAAAAACAATGAACCGGATCGTCTAGGTCGTTCATTGGCATCACTTCGACCTCGCGACATCGTTTTGCTCCGGACCGTCGGACTCAGTACATTCCAAGACCGGGTGTACGGACAAAGTCTGCGCCGAGGGATGACCACGGCCGAGTTGTTGCATCGACAACCGGTGGATGTGACGGATGCAGTTGGATTCTATCAGGGCAGAATGCAAGAAATTAGCTCCCAGGATGATCCGCCGGCCCTTAAGGCCCGCAGAGTACGAAATTGGATGCTGCGGTTTGTGACGGATTCGGTTGGAATGTCACATCCATGTGGATTACCTCCGGATACGCAGTAGTTAGTTAATTGGTCAAAGTAGTAACTATTGCTTTCATGCTTTATGTGAAATGTTAACTTGATATCCGTAGGTTCCGTAGAGATGTGTCTTTAGTGTACGTACTAGCGCCAGACCAATTGTATCTGAAACGGAAGAGGGGAAACAGGGAATATCCCCCCACCACCAATCTCCCCATCACCTACGGAGGACTCCGTATATGTAGGTTTCAGGGGCGATACCTCATGACCATAAGAATTTGAGGTTTAGTTTTGCGCCATCTGCATTGTCGTATAAATCATGCAATAGCATTGGACATACTGGCCGGGGATGGCTGAACTAGACCTCAGGAGATCAGAGACTTCATCCACGCGTCAGAGCGGCCTAGTTCCTTGGAATGTAATTAGAGGAATGCCTAATCCATTCACAGCAAGCAAAGTACAAAGTCATTTCATCCCAAACATCCAAAAGCAGTCACCACAGCTCTAAACAGCCGAAGTCGAAGTATATGGCCCCCTTTTCCCGCAAACAGGCCCCTCCAATCACCGCCACTCACGTGCCCCCACTTGGACAAAAATAAATCCATCAACGGCCAGGTGTTCCCTAAATAACAGAGCGTCTCTCCTTTTGCTTCTCCTAGCCTCTCTACTCTATTCCTAATTTTCTCTAATTTTCACTATTACTTTCAATTCCAATACATCATGAAGGGTATGTGCTATTGTCAATGCTTCCATGTCTCCCCGCTAACCCCTCTACAGCTCTCATTCTTGTTGGAGGGTTCGGAACTCGTCTGCGTCCTCTGGTAAATATCCCGATGATTATCTTATGGCCTATTGTCTATTTGGCAATACTAATATTGATTTATTTTAGACCCTCACCCTTCCTAAGCCATTGGTGGAGTTCGGAAACCGGCCCATGATCTTGCACCAGGTCGAGAGCTTGGCTGCTGCGGGTGTTACTGATATCGTTCTTGCCGTCAATTACCGCCCGGATGTGATGGTCGCAGCTCTAAAGAAGTACGAGGAGCAATACGGAGTCAACATTGAGTTCTCCGTCGAGTCCGAACCGCTGGGCACGGCTGGCCCGCTTAAGCTGGCGGAGGAGATCCTAGGCAAGGACGATTCGCCTTTCTTCGTGCTCAACTCGGATGTCATTTGCGATTACCCCTTCAAAGAGCTTGCCGAATTCCACAAAAGCCACGGTGATGAGGGCACCATTGTCGTCACTAAAGTTGACGAGCCCTCCAAGTATGGCGTTGTCGTGCACAAGCCCAACCATGCCTCGCGCATCGACCGCTTTGTCGAGAAACCCGTCGAATTCGTCGGAAACCGCATCAACGCCGGTATTTATATTCTGAACCCTAGTGTTCTAAAGCGCATCGAGCTCCGCCCGACCTCCATCGAGCAGGAGACCTTCCCCGCCATCTGTAAGGAGGGCCAGCTTCACTCCTACGATCTCGAGGGCTTCTGGATGGACGTCGGTCAGCCCAAGGATTTCCTCACCGGTACTTGCCTATACCTTACTTCCCTGGCCAAGCGCAACCCCAAGATGCTTGCCCCTCACACAGAGCCTTACGTTTACGGCGGAAATGTCATGGTTGACCCCACCGCCAAGATCGGCAAGAACTGCCGTATTGGTCCTAATGTAGTCATCGGGCCCAACGTCGTTGTCGGCGACGGTGTCCGTCTTCAACGCTGCGTTATAATGGAGAACTGCAAGGTCAAGGACCACGCTTGGATCAAGTCCACCATTGTTGGCTGGAACAGCTCTGTTGGACGCTGGGCGCGTCTGGAGAACGTTACAGTTCTCGGGGACGACGTTACCATCGCCGACGAGGTATATGTCAACGGTGGCTCGATTCTGCCCCACAAGAGCATCAAGCAGAACATTGATGGTAAGTTTTCGTTTCTGATCACTATCCCTAACAAACATGTACTAATTAATTGTACAGTTCCCGCGATCATCATGTAATCCTTTTCCTACTTCCCCCTCTTCCTTCACGTCGCTATGCCTTTTGAAATACCTCCCTTCAACTCTCGTGCCGATACCACCCTCCAGTCCGCCCTCTTGATGCATAGAACCGGAGTCGTTTACTGCGTTTCTTCTGTCTTCTCTTCTATTGTCGGCTTGCCTTTTTCCTCCTTGACGGTTTATCGCCCTCACAACTTCCTCCCTTCCGTCCGATAATGCACTTAGAAACCTAGATGGTGAAAGCGTGCGATTTCGGCTGTTTTGCAAGAAATAACTTCTTTTAGTTTTGTTTGTCTACGTTTATCCTTCGAGCTATCCCCGTTTTAGTGCTACATATTGAGGGTTTCGTCGCTACATCCCCGCTCCCCTGCGCTTGGCCACTTGTTTTCATTCAATTTTTTCGATTTTTTTTTTTACTACTGCTAGTCTTCTGGCAATTGATGGGCAAAGAAATCATGCCATATCCGTTTTAATGAGAACATGGGCGTGGGCTGGTTCTGTTGATGTAAATAATGGGAGGCGAAATTCGCAAAAAAAGATACAAGTTTAGTTGATCTTTAACACGATTCTTCAGATGTTTCATATCAGATATCTTTGTAGAAGTATCATGGATGGAATATTAGATACATATTTGGGGATAAATTACATACAGTCATTGAAGCTGTTCTGCTTGAATCAGTTAAGCAGGAAATTGACTTGAGAGAAGCATAATGTGTCTTTGACAAAGTCGTGTCTAGGAATGAGCCTCAGCTCGATCCAGGATCTCATCCCACTGAATTCTCAACTCTTCCATCTGCTTCCAGCATTGGCGTCCGAGTTCCTCGAACTCTTCTCTCTTTTCCTTGGTAAGATCTTCTGCGCCGCGCTTACGACGTCGGAGCCGATCAGCCTCAACGACGGGCGTGCCGACAACACCTCCATGTCCCCAGCCGTCGACCTCAGTAGAAACCGCACTTTCAATGCCAAGACGCCCGCAAGACGAACCCCATTTCGCTCTACCGCCACCAGCCCGGTGGTAAGGCTCTTCGGCAGCTTCCACGTCAGCCTGCGATGCCAGCGCGAGGAAGACCGGAGCACAAGCGCCGAGGTAAGTAGACAATGGATGCCAGGGCGAGCCCAGCATCCTCGCAGTCCAGAAAGCAGCAATCATCGCCCACGCAAGGGGCAGAATAAGCGGGATGATAGATGTGGCGCAGATACCAGGGTGAGAAAGATACATGCGCGGGGTCGCGTCGGGGGCATTTGTGTGGATAGCATGTGTGTCAAGTTCCGTCTCAGACTGCAAGAAGCTATCGACAACCCAGGGGGCCGTACTCGGCAGATTGGAAGTCAGCGCGAGGATATCAGTGAGAGCCTTAGAAGACTCATACGGCGCATCAGTGCGCAAACCCTGAATATCGTCTATTTTGAAAAAGTTCCAAGTCGCTTCGAGACTAGAAACCCAGACCACACGGCCAGGCCCGTTCGTGTGCGCCCGCTTCAGCAGCGGAACCAGGTTGTGCGCCAGCATATAGTGCCCGAAGACATTTGCGCAAAAGACTGCTCCGAGCGCGGGCTCTTCTTCCGTCTTTGTTTGCTTGTTTGTTAACACGCCCGTCGGCGCTAGCTTATAGGATGGCCAGGTCACCGCGTGGAGGAGATCGGTGCAAACCTCCCAAATGGCCGTGGGCCAACTGATGCCGGACCAGCCGCCCAGCCCGGCATTCAGAACGATCGAATCGAGTCGGGGGAGAGTGTGCACTAGTTTTCGGGAAAGTTCGCGCACTGAGCGGAGATCGCCGAGGTCGACGCTCTCTGAGACGAAGTGGACGCGCGCGGCGGCAGATGCGGAGGGGGAGGTTGCTTGGAGGTGTGCTTCTAGTCTGCGGATTGTGTCTTGGGCTTTGCGCGCGCTTCGAGTTGTGAATATTATGGTGAGAGATTCAGATTCTGCGTGGGAGGAGAGGAATTCGTCGGCAAGGCGGCAGCATATGGAGAATCCGAGGCCGCTGGATGGTCTGAGTTAGTATAGGGAATTGAGCTGAATTGGCATATTGAGAGGTTTGCACCTGTTAGCCCCTGTCACCAGGATGTGCAACATATTTTGCTGCTCAGCGGACTTGACCTGATCCATGGCTTGTTGCTTCGGCGAGTTTGTTGACTCGGCAATTTTCTTGATATCGGAGATAGGGGTTAACGTGATAAGATGCTCAACGATTGAAGCTGAGGTTGGAGAGGATTTTGCGCGTTGTCGCAATGGAAAAGACACGCGGCAATCAGCAGCACCTGAGATGAAATGAATCCCCCGAAGTGAGCACTGTCAATGTCTCTTGTCGAAAATCCACCGAACGGGGAAAGTGCCCATCGCACAGATCACGTGTTCAACTTTAATCTTATCGTTATCGGATTCGTAGTCCACCTGCACGGGTTGTTCCAAGGTTCCCGTCATACTCGCTTTTCACGTTTTATGGCTGAGATCTGCTAAATCTTACCCAAATGTCGTGCAGCTGGCATACAGGAAGCCATGGTAGTCAGACTTGAGCGGTTTCTCAACACAACCGGTTTCTTCTTCTTCGCTATCGTCCTTTTCTGCCTCATCCTCCTTACACCAGCGGACGCCATTTACCAATGCTACGAGACTAATCGACTCACAAACATCTTCTTCATTACCGGCGCATATGTGATCACCTTCCTATTTGCAGTCCTCATCTATGCGACACGCATCTACACGAATCGCAGTGCACTCACCGGCATACCCAAAGCCTGGATCCCCGTGGAAAAGGAAGATGTGAACAAGAGCGTTAGGCGACTGGTAAAGGAAGGCCTCATCCGTAGCGCCGTCATCGCCTATCAAGCCCGCCCACGCGACGTCTCCACCGATGAGGACAGCTTCCAAAAATACAGATCGCTTCTCATCGACCCCGAACGACCCCCATGGGGCCATGTCGAGCACCCCGGCTGGTCTTCGCCAGACTCGCCAGACTTACCGAATCTACCATACCGCACAGTCATACACGAACTCCCCAGCTTGATTGAAGCCAAAGCTGTCTCCCTTGCCCCTATTGATTCATTATCATCTGCGCCCACATACCACTTCGATCCGTCAGGCGACCTTACGATACAGTCTCTCCCGGATACACGCGTGGTGGAAGTATTACAGCGTCCAGCGTCAATGGGTCTGAGAGAATATATCCGCCATCTGACGTCCCTCGGGGCTATCAATCCGCCAGAACTCGGTGCGGATTTCCTTGCGCTGTACGAACAAGCCAGATTCTCGACGCGCGATCTACACGAGACGGAATTCCGCGACCTGATGCACCTCTTCGCGGAGATTCTGAGGGGGATGACATCCCTTGCACCACCGATCCTGGATGAAATTCGCGACAGCGCTAGCTCCCGGCGAGCCTATAGCGAATCTAGCATTGAATCCTCGGATGATGAGAGAGAAACAGATACCGGGACTTATGGTTATGACGGGACTCTAGGGTACATGCGAAGTAACAGCCTTCGCCCATCGAATACGTCTACCTGGGAGACCCAGTCCGGGTATGACACTGCGCCCGCAAGGCAAGATGCCGCGTCTGAATTGTCAACGGACAGTGGATCCTCCGTGGCACGAAGCTTTCTTCATACCCCTTCTACGAGGTCTCTACGACGCGTGGCCTCGGGCCAATCCGGCAGTTCGGGAGGGAGTGTTATTCGTCTGAGGCAGCCACGAGATCCGACAGATTTGCCGTATACAATTGACTACGCTGGACGTAGGCAATGATAATAATCCATTCACACTTGTATATTACCTATAGAGCAACGCTATTTGGACACGCAATTGCGCCAACGGAACCTTGGAAGTGGGGATGGACTTAGTCAGGCGGAAAACATTCCGAGTCCTGTCCTTGGCAAAACCTGCAAAATGATTGATAAGATCAGTTTATCATTCGACGACTCGTCATCAGAAAAAAGAGTCCAAACTAGCAGATCTTCTCCTTTTTCCCATTGTTGAAGAAGATATCCATATCGTGTAAAATGCATCTCTTTCGCCGCGGGACTTCCTCCCTCTTTAGCTCCTCCAATGTCTCTGCCGCCTCCTCCAGGACCGACATCACCACCGACGCTGTGGGTGACAATACCCTCGCTGCAGATGGCTTCCAAAAAGTCTCGTCGAGCGATAAGCTCTTCAAAAAGGTCGATCCAGTGGTAGACGGCGAAGACTGCCTGCACGACTGCGCGACATGTACGATCAAATACCCCGCAAAATTCGATGTCGATCAGCAAGACGAACTATACGGACAAGTCAACGGATGGGCGACACATATGCTCGTCGCAACGGGCAAGTCAGATTGGGTGAGAGACGTGGCAGACGAGAAAGGGAGCGTCATGGAAGCCATTGAAAAGGGAGGACTGGAGCCGAGCAACGGGGTATGACAATATCCCGACCTGCCAAAGTCAATGACATAGAGACTAACAACCCCTTTTCACAGCGACTCAAACTGTCAGCATCCAACATGCCCGTCCCAGACGAATACCACATAGCCGACGCAGGCAAACAGCCCACAAACGTCATCCTGCTGCCGAGCTTCACCGTCGTCGAGGACGTCACCCCACAGCTAGTCCCAGATTTGATCGAGAATTTCATCAACCGGACCCTAACAACAACAACGCCACTAGGCGCAATTCCAGAAAAACCAACAGAGGAAGACCAAGACCAAGACCAAGACCCTACGCAAATAGACCTCCCACACCCATCCACAACATCAATCCCCACTTCCCTCAAATCCCACCCCAGCCCGCACGCAGCCGTAATCCTGCTCTGCTCGCAACGCACGCGTGATGCGCGCTGCGGACAATCTGCACCCCTCCTGCGCCGCGAGTTCGAGCGCCACCTGCGCCCACTCGGTCTGTACCGCGACATGGACGACCAACGGCCCGGCGGCGTAGGTATCTACTTCATCAGCCATGTCGGCGGTCACAAGTACTCCGCGAATGTGATTGTGTACCGCCGCCGCGACTTCGATTGGTACAAGCGGGATGCTCCTGCGGACGGGGAGGGGCGGGCCCCTGATGAGGGTGCGGCGCAGGGAATCTGGCTGGCGCGTGTGCGGCCCGAGGAGTGTGAGAATATTATTCGATATACGGTCTTGCAGGGGAAGTTGCTCAAGCCCGGGCAGCAGTTGCGGGCTGGGTTTGATCGTGAGCGTGGGGTGACGAGTTGGTAAAGTTCGAGCTGGGTTGGTTAGTTGGTACTTTGGAGTTGGTTTAGTGGATATCACGGACATATTGCTATTCTCGGCTGAGGTTGATTGCCTGATGTATCTGATTTGTGCTTTTGTCTTAGTATTCTATACATGTGGCGCTGCGCCCCAGGTCAGATCTGCCTTGCGCATCACGCTAATAGCTTTACTCCGTATTCGCAGGCTCTGTACTCCGTATTGTATTTATTATTACGATTGTACGGATTTCAGAAAAGAGGTGTATGCTGGAGGTATCTCCAGTCTCATCAACCCTTGGCCTTGTTTCGCTTCCCGTGCCTCACAGGATATCATTCGCCACTTGACTACAGTGATATCTATGTACACTTCTATTAGATGAAACATCTACCAACGCCGACAAGCAATCGATGGCTATAGCTGCTCAGGCTCCAGACACGTGCACCATGTCAGCCATGCAAGTCAGATTGCAAGGTCGGCATTTGTCAGCCCTACAGCCATATCAACCGCAAATGTCGGATCTCCCTGTCTTATTATAGACTATAACTAGTTTGTTATGTATGAAAGGAGACAGACACCTTACGTAAACATAACCAAGTGATTACCTAACCTCCCACCTGGACCGTGCACCGGTGGACCTCCCGTACCCGGCGGACCTCAGGGGGCGTGCTCAATTTTACTCGGACGGAACACCACTGTATCCCAAACATCCACCAAAGGATTATAAAGCCACGCTATCGACTGTGCTCCATAGCACGTTAGTTGCAGCAAAGGCGTGCATGCGTACCCGACGGCCGAGACGGCCCTACAAAGAAAAACCCATAGAAAAACGTCATCCACTGCGAATGAGCAAGGTTCATTGCCCATGACTGGACTGGCAAATGATGCAAGGCCAAGGCAACACCAGCCGCTAGTTATCCCTCAACCCTCGGGTTTCTCGCTCGCCAGGCTCCACCGGGCTTGTTTGAAAGTAACCTGGGACGGTCATTGTACAGAATAGAGCCGATGTTCCCCCGTGTGTTGCGGTTATCAACGCCCCCTTGCACGGAAAACGGTGGGTTGCGGGAATTTCGTACATATTGTTGTCTTATTTTTGCGGGGGAGGACGGAATCAGCTCCAAACGCCAAACTCCAATACGTCATTTCTGGGTTTTCTTTCGAGGTATCTTGTATCTTCTATATTTACATATTCGTGCTAGATAGGAGCTCGGAGATAGTGTCTCTTACGGCAAGACACTCCCGGGCGTTCAGTAAGGAGGACTGAATTCCTTTGCTGTCAGCCGTGATAGGGGCTTGCGGTAAGTTTTCCGCTGATTTGATCACATTCTTCTCTTCTTCTCACTGGCGTTGTTGGCTTTCAGAACCAACATGTGGTGTCTAACTTCGAAACCAGAGTCAAAATACCTGCAAGGGGTCAAGTGGTGGCTGTTCGCCTTGTCGCAACATCCTGGCCGGTAAGTTATCATCGAGCGCTGATAGGCAAAGCCCGGCGTTGACCGACATTCGCGCAACGAGAGCGAGAGAATGCGAAATGGCACAGAAGGGCCGAGAAATGCGAGGAATTTGTTCCGGCCTATTCCACTCCGGGGATATTAACATCGATCATCGACCGTACGCACGCTTGGAGAAAACATGACCACATTCATACCGTCTACCGCCTCCTTGGTGAGAAAGCTCGCGGAGTAAACAGCCAGATTGCCGAATCAGAATCCACAGGTTTCTTAGCTTCCTTAGGTCTAAAGTGGGGGATATGGATAGTCCAATGAGCTGCTCTCATTACTGCGTCGCCATGCGCGCGTCGGAGATTAATTTAGTGGCTTTTCGGAGCATGTGGAGGATATTTGTTTTGGTCCTTGGAGCTGGTAACCTTTTTCCCAATCTTCACATGGGTATAGGTGATCGACATGGAGATATGTCCGATCTGTTTATTTCACACTGTGAATCCGTTTTGATTGGACTCCGTACCAGGTACTCCGTACATTCGAATGATTCATATTTCGTATACGACCAATTACCAACAATTACCAACGCTGTTAGCGGCAGACTGAGGGCCAAATCAGAGAGCTCCCCGACAGCGTCATATCCTCTCTTAATCGCCAAGATGAAACAAAATGCGGGGTAGTCAGAGCTTCTCAGATCAAGGGAAAAAGGTAGAGGAAAAAGAAAATAGCGAAAAACAGAGTCCCTTATCGAACTCCATGGTAACCGCTTGAAAGCCATTGTCCTTGCGTGATGTGATGCGCATGCAGCTTCGAACAGCTTTGCAACAACTTCCGACTCCCTTCTCCTGCATTTTACCTATTTCAATCACCTGGGCAAGACGGTGGAGTTATCAATATCCAAATTCCAAATATGATATGGCCCCCAAACGAGCCCGTCCCTATTTGGAAGCCATCCACTCCACAAATAAGACTAGTCTTAGTAGTCTGCACGCGAGAACAAAGAATCCGGACACCAGGCTCATGGGTATCTCTGAATGACGCCTCATTTCGTTTATCCTTTATTCTTTTTTCGCATGCAAGCACACCGGTTTTTGATTTTCTCTTGCCCTACTAGCCGCGCCCTGCTTTACGGCATTACTATAGTGTATGGAGTATGGAAATATGCATATATGCCTCAAGTGGAGCATGCATGTGCTGTACCTACCTGATCACCCTACACTTATCATAGCCGAGCGATTACCGTTTCATGTAGCGTGTATTCAGGGAACCGATTAATGATAGTCGCGGTTTATCTATGATCGGCGGCGACATTGGCGCTCTTTTCTGATCGGGGGTTTCTGTTCGATGTTTCGTGTTGACAAATCTGGACCCTTAGGGAAATAGTGGGCTGTGCAATTTTATGTACACTATACAACATACAATAGCATTTCTCAGTATAATCTCCATTCGTTCTTACAACCGTTTATCCCCATAATTCATTTCCAATAATATTTTGATTCCTATGTCATGTTCGATTACCTCAATGGCTGAGCCGGGCTGTCTCCATTAGCCACTCAAGAGCATTTGTGTGGGTCCAATCCACACATTCTGCTTGCCTCGTACACTGCGTGCATCATCACGATCCGGATATGCAGCACTATTGGTCCTTCGAACGAGATCTACTTCACTCCGCCTACCAAGTAAGCTACCGCAACAGATCTGCACACGTTAGGCGAAGCTCTTCGAAGTACTTTATACATCCCTCCATACCTTGTAAACAGGGTTTGTCGATCACGCAAAGCGAGCAAGAAGTGAAAAACAAATAATACAGGGAATCTATAGGTCGGTCCTCATTACTCTGGTGTATTAAGGTCGTAAGATCAGAAGATCACCGCAGTGAAGATGAGCGCGAGTGGATTGCCACGTTCAGTAGGATTAGGAAGGTAGTGGTGGTCACCCAAACGCCTCTTCTATTTTCGTTCAGCTGTTGGACTTTGCCAGGAGATCTCTAGCCCGCTCTGGCATTTTCGGCTCTGATCACCGTAGTTGTTGCGCGAATCTCGAAGCCTCTTGCGACACCTTTTGTTGAGTTTATCGATTGGCAATGGGGACATCCCGCGCTAACCGAGTCTACCCGATAAGCC